GGGGTGGCCTGGTGTTTCTTTGAGGACAGCCCACGCCCTGCGTTCCCCAACATCCGACGAGCTGGACTATTCAATCCGCGGGAGCCAGTGGGCTCGACCCCGTCCCGGGGGTCGGAGGTGCATGGCTGATGATCCTGGGGCCCGAAAACCACCCTCAGAGGCCGAAATGACCGAGAACGCAAAAGGTCCTTCTGAGATCTGGGTTCTCACAAATCGGGGTGCGGACTTCGGAGGACGACGACGCATACAAGCTTGAATGATGTACACTGCAACTTCATAACAGTGCACAAATGTGAAAATGCTTCCTTTCTTCCTCCTCTCCCTCTCCTCCCTGCAACGACGACAACGACGACGAGGACACGAGCACAGGGCGGAACGAACCACGAGGCGACAGGGGACAGGACACCGAGGCCGTCTTACGTCCATGCTCTGCCCCTCGCCTCGGTGGGCGGGGATTGGCACTGGCCTCCGTCCAGCGTGTCGCCGCCCCCTTCTGCATACAGTACTTGTTCCTGCGACTGCACAGACAGCATTGAGTCCCTGCTCGGGAACAGCTGCTCAGCATCACTCGCGGGCGCCAAAAGGGACCGAACGAACGAAGCTGCCGTCGCCAGGATGCCGGCGTCCGTGCAAGGGGGGCAGGCGCGTTGGTCGCGCGCACGCCTTCTAAGAAGGCCACTAGATGTGTGATTGCGTGAGCGGAGCCCTCCATCGGAGAGGCTTCTCGCAAGAATGCACTTTATGAGAGTAGCGGTGATCAGGGAATGTACATCGAGGTCTAGCACAAGATATATTCCCGAAGTGCTGCACTGGCGCGGAAGCCTCTTTGAGGCCTCCAGGCGATGTCTTACACCAGGAAGCAATAACACTGAAGCCGAACGGCGTCGGTAACGAAGACCGTCCAAAAGCAACACGTTACATCCAACTTCTGGCAGAATTCCGAGGCGAATCCGTAACGATGGCCGTCTGGAAACAAAACGTTACATCCAACTTCTGACAATATTCGGAGGCGTGTCCGTACCGTGGCAGGATGGCTCTCAGACTAGACTGGCGGAGCCTGTGCACATGCCTGGACACATGGCTCTCTGGCTCTCAGACTGGCGGGCGCCAACAAGGTGGTAAGCCCAAAATGATTAGCGCCTCAATGCCAGCGCCTCCCGGCGCGTCAAAGGCGCCGGCCCGAACATCGGGGGAGCGTCTCGAGCGTCCCCACCAGAGCGGCGGGGGTCAAAGAACGGAACACGGCGCCAACGGCAGCTCTCGGAGGCCCGCGCGCATCTCGCAGGTCGGCGCTGGACGCCCCGCTGCTGGCGCGCAGAGCGCCGCGGGCGGCGCCGGAGGCGGGCGGCGGCATGGGGCGGCGTCGGGGGCGGCGCCAGAGGCTCCGCCACGGAGGGCCCAGCGGCGACGCAAGAAATACGTGCGCGCCTCCGACAGCGTATGATCGGTATGCGCGTTTCAAGATGCCGTTTTTTCAGGATCGGCACTAACCTGGGTTATCCGGGGGGGGAGGGGGCCGGCCGATCACCTAACCTTCGCGCTGTGTGCAACCCTGCATATGCCCGCGCCCCCCCCAGCCCGGACCTGCACAACCGGTAAGGTTAGGTCATCCTGGGGGGGGAGGGAGGGCAAGCCCGATAACCCGGGTTATGGCCGGACCCTTCAAAAGAACAGTCTCTAAAGGGGAGGGCAGGGGGCGACTTGTTGCCGAAGAAGTCCTCCTTGGGCGGTCCGCGCCTGGACTTGTCCTCCCGGAGCCACTTGGCCTGGCGAGGGCGGGGAAGGTGCAGAACGGCACGGAAAGCTGTCTGCGAGCCAGCGGGGCACTGCGGGGCCCCTGATGGCGTGGGCGCGTCCGGGCAGAGCGCGCGAGGCTGGCAGAGAACGCGCAAACAACAGCAACAACAGCAACAACATTATCAACAACATTATCAACAACAACAACAAGAACAACAACAACAACAACAACAACAACAACAACAACAACAACAACAACAACAACAACAACAACAGCAACAGCAACAGCCATATACAGCAACAGCAACAGCAACAGCAACATACAACAACAATTAATAATAACCAACTAATAACACAACAACAACTACAACAACAGCAGCAGCAGCCGCTAGCAGCAGCCAGAAGCAACATCAACCACCACAAACCACAACCACAAAAACCACAACCACAACACAACCACCAACAATCAATTTTAAGACTTGTTCGCTCTTTTATGACTCGTGTCCCAATAACGCGTAATTTCCCAAACCCTCGATACCCGCCCTCTTCGTCTTCGATCGAACCTGTTTGGGGGGTATACCTTTCTTCCCTGCAGGCCGGGCCCCGGCAAGCGGCGGGGCGGCCGCGGACCGTCGGCCTGGCCAGCGGCAGCGCTGATCGGCGGGGCGGCCGCGGACCGTCGACCCGACCCCAAGAGGGACGGACAGGGGACCGACCACGACGACGACGACGACGACGACGACGACGACGACGACGTCGAAACGACGGACGACGACGACGACGACGACGGCGACGACGAGCGAAAGCGAGAGCGAGAGAGAACGACAGCAGGGCCAAAGGACACGAAGTAGGCCACGAAGGGCGACAGCGGGGACACGAAGGGAATGCGTATGGGCCACGAAGAGCGCGAACGAGCGGGGGCCACGAAGTGCAGATAATGCGGGGCCACAGAAGGCAACCATGGGGCCACTGAGGGTAGCAACTGGGCCACGTAGGACAGTGAGGGGGACACAAATGGCGACAGCGGGGCCACGAAGGGCATGCACATGGGGCCACAACGGGCGCGACTCCTGGGTGCCTGGGTGTCGGGAGCGCGGCGCTTGGGTAAATTGCAAGAAATTCCAACGCAAGGCCATTCTTCAGTAGGTTGCAAGCAAGTCTCCAGCGAGAGCGCGACTCCAGAGCGCCGGGAGAGCGATTCCTGCATAAATTGTAAGGAAGTCCCAAGCGAGAGCGCAAATCCTGAATAACATGCGAGGAAGTCTCGGGCGGGAGCGGGGGTCCTGGCTAAAATGTAAGGAAGTCTCGGGCGGGAGCCGTTGTTGTTGTAACCCGGGGGCCAGGGGCCCAGTAGGAAGACTTTCCCTGTTAAAAAACAGGGTGCGAGCGTCGAGGGGCACACTTTGATTGAGAAAAAACAATATGCACCGGTGTGGGAAGATCAACAATAATTATTCTTCAGAAATATGAATTCAACAACAACAACAACAACAACAACAACAACAACAACAACAACAACAACAACAACAACAACGACAACGACAACGACAACGACAACGACAACGACAACGACAACGACAACGACAACGACAACGACAACGACAACGACAACGACAACGACAACGACAACGACAACGACAACGACGACGACGACGACGACGACGACAACAACATCATCAACAACAACACAAAAACAACAACAACAATCGGCAAGTCGCACTTTACTGATCGCATGCAGTTCAACGTGTAATACGTGTATACCGGATGCCCCAAACTCGGGAGCGCGCAGACATGGGTTAGCGATCCGTGGATTTGGCGCGCGGTCGCCAAATCCATGGATCGGGGGCGGTGCCCTCCCCAAAATGAGGCCGGTGCCGCCTCGTTCGGCGGCGGAAATCCACGTTTTCCCACGCTAATCCACGCCCCCTTGATCCATGTTCGCGATCGCGTGACAAACACCCGACTCTCGCCCCCTTCGTTTGCGAACGAACCCCTTTGCGGGGGGGCGCCTTCTTTCACGCCATTCGGGGAGACGTAAGACTCGGGCACGGGGGACTGCGGGCTCCCGCTGCAGACATCCCACGAGAACGGGACCGTCAAAATCCAGGACGCGCTCGTTAACAAAAAAGTCGGCAATCCCGAGTTCCGGCTTACTCGAATCTGACGTTTCCCCGATTGTGTAAGCCCGACAAGATGATGCAGGCCGGCAGCGCTCGTCAAAAACAAGCCGGCAAGTCGCCGTTTACTGATCGCATGCAGTTCAACGTGTGTGCATGTATACCGTATACACAAGACACTCGACTCCCGCCCCCTTCGTTTTTTTGCGAACGATCCCCCTTGGGGGGGGGGAACGTACATGGACATTATACTCGAACCCTGTGGCCCAAGATGCCCCCCAGAACCCCCGAAATCAATATTGATGGCGTGGCGACGGGGGGGGCGTGAGTGGACAGAAATATACTCGAACCCCAAAGCACCGCCTTTCCTGAGATCAACATGGATGTCGGGGGCGCGGGGGTGCTTTAGAATCTCCCTCGAAATGTGTAGGCTTCGAATCGATTGTCCATCTACTGGAGGGCGCGCAAACATGGATTAGCGATCCATGGATTTGGCACGCGGTCGCCAAATCCATGGATGGGGGGCAGTGCCCTCTTCAGAATGCGACCGGTGCCGCCTCGCTCGGCGGCGGAAATCTGCGATCCCCCATGGACACGGGACCCGTCGCTGATCCACGCGCCCCCGATCCACTCCCGCCCCCTCCGTTGGCGAACGAGCCCCCTCCTGGGGGGGGGAGGGCGCCTCTTTCCACACCAGCTCCTGGCCATCGCTCGGACGTCCATTCCCTGTGCTTTTTGTTGCTTCCGTGCGTGGTTTTTTCGCCAAATGATCAAGGATGGTCCTCGATGGTCCTCGCCAATAGAAAAATGCACACGTCCGAGCGATGCCAAGGCTCCCGCGCGAGCCCCAGACAGGGTGGGCACAGCCGGGTCGGGCGGGCGAGCCCCGAGGAGGGCGGCGGGCGCCTGGCGGGTGGGGCGGGGCTTCCTGGCAGGGGAGCGGGCGGACCCGACCGGGCTCCGGTCGGGCAGGCTCCCCATACAGACGGATCTTGGACGAGAGATTAAAAGAAGCCACGAAACAGTCCCCAAGTGGTCAAAAGGTAGTCCAAAAATCGTTCCCAGGCTATTCTTTTGACTATTTGTTTGGACATTCCTCCTGCAGAGGGACGTGCCCGACTGAAGACTGAGCGGGTCGGGCGGGCGGAACATCAAACTGCGAGCCCTGGATAAATCTTGGGGGGGCGTATCTGGCGAGAGCACGATTCTTCCATTTGGTGTTGGGAGGTCCTGGGCGAGAGGGCACCTCCTGAGCAGCGAGGGTGCGACTCCTGGCGGAAGTACGAGGATGTCCCCAGCCCCCGCGAGGGCACGAGGCCTGAGCAGCAAGAGATCGCCTCCTGAAGTGCGGAATGGGAAACATTTGCGCGTGTGCGAGTCTTCGGTAAGTCCCACCAGCCCTTCAGGGCGTAGGTGGTCGAGTGCGTATCCTCTTCTAGACCCCCCTCTTCCCTTTTCGGAGAGAGGTGTACCCCTCCCGCTGAGACGGCCGGCCTTGGGGAGGATAGCCTGACACCTCCTCCTACCCACTCCCCCTTGGTCTGGACAGGGCGCCCCGAGAGCGGTTAGAGCGTCCAGGATGACCCAAAATAGTGGCCCCAAGATGGCCCCAGGGACCCCAATCTGACTTCCAAGATGACTTAAGAAATCCAAGGCAGCTTAAGATGGCCTCCAAGATGCCCCCGGGAGGCACCGAAACTGCTCCAAGACGGCCTCAAGTGGCCACGGAGCCACCCAAAAAGGCCCTCCAAGAGGCGAACATCCGTGCAACAACCGGAAGGAGTGGTTGTTTTACCTTCTCTCACGATCGCTTCTGATGGGCTTTGGGAGCCTCACGATGGTTCCACGAGGGCCCAAGAGGGCCCCAAGAGGATCCCATCATGGCCCCAAGACGGCCCCAAGAGCGCCCGCAAGCGCCCCAAGAGCGCCCCAAGAGGGCCCCAATATGCGACTTGGGGGGCTCAAGAGGGGAGGCGTAATCGGGGGCACCCCCTTCGCTCAAAACCAAAACCATGTAAAACAACAAGTGGCTGTTCAAAGAGTTCAGCATATTGGGTGTTTTCTTGGGAGGCTGTTGGGCTAACATGGCTCCAACATGGACTCAGAGAGCTCACGGTGGCCTCCAAGAGGGCTCAAGGCACCCCAGGGTCGCTCACGATGGCGACCAACATGCCTGCAAGAGGCCACAAGACACCCACAAGACGGCCTCGAGTGGCGACGGAACCACCCAAGAAGCTGTCCAAAACCAATGGGACGTCAATGCGTTGCACCGTCTCGCCTTTTCGCTTCCGATGGGTTCGTGAGGCTTCAGGATAAATCCAAGAGGGCCCAAGGGAGCCGCAGGAGAGCCCACGAGTGGCGACGGAATGCGACTTCCCGGGGAACATCTCAGCTTGCTGGGGATAGATTCGATCAACTTGGTAAAGACTCAGAAACCTTCTTCCTAGTCCTCCTGCACTGAAGTGCCCTTGGCTCAGGTGCCTCCTCTCTCTCACACACACGGCAACGTAGTAATCGGCCAGCTCTTCTGCACTCAGTATTGTGTCCTGTTCTGCGATGGTAGCATTGCATCTCACAATGCCGTTTCTATTTCAGATCAGCGGCTGCTGGCCGTATCCATGATGCTTCATGTCTCAGTCCTTCAATACAATCCCCTTGCATCCAGGTGTTCTACTAGACTGGCATGAAAAAAGGCTTTCATTGCGCTACATGTGGGACAAAGAGAGGGAGAAAAGGAGCACGAGGAGGAGGATGAGGAGATGGTGTTGATTTTCAGAGCTCCCCATGAAACTGGGCATGTACCACAATGCCATACAAGTAGCACGAGGCGGGGCTGGCAACAGGATCAAGCACATCGGAAGCGCACTTGGCAGAACAGAAGCTCACTTAGCAGGAACACGACTTGGAGGTCGACAGAGAGAGAGGGAAAGAGAGAGAGAGAGGGCAGGAGCAGGGGCAGGGGCGAGAGCAGAAAGCAACAGCACGCGCAAGAGCAGGGACCCCCCGCGACACTCCAACCGTGCACCGCTCGCTCTCCCTCATGGCGCGCATCCGGGCGAGGCCTCGTGCAGAGCGTAGAGCTGCTCGCGCTCGTTGACGCCCACAGGCACGGGGGCCGGCATGGCACTGCCCGAGACCTCTCCGCGCGGCGAGGCGCTGTCAGAGGAGGGAAGATCACGCCGGCGCGCGTGGCCCAGATCTCCTCGCGTAGCGAAGCAAAAACCACGGTTGGACCTTTTGCCGTTTCCGGCCTCCACCGGGCCCTGGGACCGTCAAAAAGCGACCCGGGATGAGCAACTGGTCCCAAGGGAGACAGTCGAGACCTCCGAGGGACCCCGTTGGAAAAATCACGACGTCGGTGTGTAGGAGCGGAGGGGACGACAAATAACGGGCGGGAGACATCACGACACATATCAGGAGTCGGCCCGACATCCATCGGGCGCGGCAAGACCGACCCCTTCCTCAGGGGCGCGCAAACATGGATAAGCGATCCATGGATTTGGCGCGCGGTCGCCACATCCATGGATCGGGGGAGGTGCCCTCCCCAAAATGCGGCCGGTGCCGCCTCGCTCGGCGGCGAAAATCCGCGATTCCCCATGGAAACGGGACCCGTCGCTAATCCACGCCCCCCCAATCCATGTTTGCGATCGCCTGCTCTTAGTGCCTCACGGGCCGAGCTGTTGAATTACATATCTGATTGCAGTCGCCGACAACTCTCTGGAGGGTGACGTGGAGTCCGGAATCAGCGACGACGAGGACGAGTAAACTATGAACCCATGGGGTGGGTAATGCCCTGCGCACTTCCCAATTTGCGATCGCCTGATTGACGAGCCCCTCACGGTTGAGGCTCCCCCACGGCCGCCTGCCCACGCCCAGGAGCGAGCCGAGGGGTCGTCACGGAAGGGCTCGGCTTGCTGGGGATCGGCCAGGCCGCGCCTGACCCAGCCCCACGGCGCTTGGGGGATGGAGGAGCAGGAGGAGGAGGGGGAGGAGGAGGAGGAGGAGGAGGAGGAGGAGGAGGAGGAGGGAGGAGGAGGAGGAGGAGGAGGAGGAGCCAGGAGGGGGAGGAGGAGGAGCCAGGAGGAGGAGGAGGAGGGGGAGAAGGAGGAGCCAGGAGGAGGAGGACGGGGGAGGAGGAGGAGGAGGAGGAGGAGGAGGAGGAGGAGGAGGAGGAGGAGGAGGAGGAGGAGGAGGAGGAGCCAGGAGGGGGAGGAGGAGGAGGAAGGGGAGGAGGAGGCGGCTTGAACGAGCCCTGGGGCGGGGCCGGCGGCCTGCGAGCCCCCACCACCCTCGGGCGCGCCCCGCCTTCGAAATGCGGACGCAGGTGCCGTCCATCATGTACCTCCGCTTGATGCGCGTCGCCTGGCACGCGGTGGCACCCACGGCAGAATTGGAGGCCTGGAGATGGGCACCACCACCAACACAGGGGGTTGCCTCCACAGAGGGAAGATGATCCTAGATTTCGGTGATGGTGGTAATATTTCGGCCACCCTGGAAGCCAGAATATTGCCACCATCACCGAGATCGGGAATCTCCTCCCTCGGTGGAGGCACACCGCCGAAATTGGTGTTGGTGTCAACCTCTAGGCCTGCGACAGAACGCTGTCGGCCAAGAGGGCTGCAGTCTGTTCGTGGCCATCCGCATACTCAAGCACGTCCACATGCAGATACTAGCAAACCGGACAGGGGCTGTTCCGTCGCCATCGCCGTCGCTGCCGCCGTCGCGTCGCTGCCGCCATCACGTCCCCTCCTTCCCCTAAGTCCGTCGCCGCTCCCCCCTTCCTTGGGCCCTCGTCCTCAAGCACGTCAGCCAAGGCGAAATACACCTGCCCATCCACAGCGAAAGTGAGCAACGTTGTTATTGAGTCGAAGGGGAGCTCCTTCCCTTTGAGCCCTTCCCCGCGGAAGGGGGGGGGTCCCAAGGAGAGTGTCCCGGGGGGGGGGTCCTGGGGGGCGGTCCCGGGGGGCGGTCCCGGGTCAGGATACCACCCTCCCAGGGCCCATGGCCCGCCCTCTCCCTCCCATTTCCGTCGAGGGTCGAGGCCTTCAGGGTCGGCGGCACCGGCCGTAAGGCCTTAGCAATACATACGTTTCCTCGTCCGGCGATGGGAATCACAGTCGCATCTGAAGTAAGTGGCCCGCGCAAGCTAGACAGCCAGCCCAGGTTGGGGGCAGGCCGAGGCGAGCAACGCAAGAAAACGAGATGCGCGGGGAACAATCGAGACCGTACACAACGACGTAGCCACCCACTTACGCGCAAACACACATACACACACTCGCGCTTCTCAAGCGCATACGCCGTGTATCTGGCGCCGAAGCCGGGCTGCGATGTAACAGCGGAGGCCACGCCTGGACCACCCAGGCGATGAGAAGCATCCAGCCAGTACACAGTATGGGCGTGTCAGCAAAAAAGTTCACAAAACATGTGTACAAATGAGAACCCGCGCGAGCGCGTCACGTGCGATCAGACTCCACCTGCAACCCGCAGAGCGAGAGCGGGAGTCACGGCGGGCGCCAAGGGGGAAGCTTGCGCACGCAGACGTTGCAACCAGCGGGTGTTGGGGGTACTGCCTTGGGGAGTCGGTACCACGCGTTGCACTGTTCCTTGGGGGCGCATGTGCGCGCCTTGGGGGATTAGGCAGACTTGGGGGCCAACTAACGGCTTTTTGGGGCCGGTGAACCACGACGTGCGTGAGAGGGGTGCTGAATTGAGACCCCAAGGAACCGTCTCGGGGGGGCCAGCTGAACACCTAAGGTTCACGAAATGCGCAAAAGGCTTGCCAAATTGAGGTTCCCATCAAAACGGAATGGCAATTCACCTGTATTTCCACGTCTCCCAAGAGCCTCGGCCTGGGGCCGCAGATCTTTTTCCTCACGTGTCCCTGGCTGCCCCAGGAGCTGTCACGCACACGGGCCGAACCCTAGGAGCGAATTTGATTCGTATTTTCACGCGCACCAGAATATTTGATCCGCCACCTTGCCTGCGGCACGCTGAGGCGTGGAAGAATGCCACGGGCTGCCTGGCAAAGTTGCTGTAATATTCTAAGGAACCTACCCCTCCCCCCAGTCACGCTCGACCCCGGTCAATGCAAACCCGGCCCAGTCAAGGTTTGCAAGATCTTGCAAGATCCTGCAAGAACCTGCAAGATCCTGCACGCAAGCCCAGGTCAGTGAACCCCTGGCTCTCCAGGATCCTGCAAGATTTGGCGCCCTGGCTGACCCGTGTGCATCAACCCCCGTCTCTTGAGCACCGACTGACTGCATCGCCCTTATGACTAGGGGGGTCCCTGGGCGGCCGTGGCGCCTCCCAGGGCCCCTATGACGGCCCCAGGGGCAAGAAGGCCCGCCAGAAGCCACCACGAGACTCCAAGAGGACCCCAAGAGGCCTCCACAACGCCCCGGAAGCTCCAAAACGGCCCCCCAAGAGGCCAAACAACCCCCCCAAGAGACCCCCGCGAGTCCTCTTTTGACATCACTCCTACGTAGCACTTTCGTTGGCTTTGACCGACTACACAGGCACGGTGGCGAGATGGGTCGAAGGCCATTCCGATCTCTTTCGCACACCCCTTACGCTCCTTCTCACATTCCTTGCCGTGGCCTTCCCAGCTCGTACAACGTTTTGTTTTGTTACTTTATACCTGCCCCATCTCGCTTCGACACTTCACCACCATCTCAAGACTTTCGAATGGTTCCATATGGCTGTCCTGCGGGCTTGGCAACCTCATGTGGGATTCCCTGGAAACCTCCGCGAGGACTCCAACACGACCCGCACCATAAATTTCCCAGAGAGCCTTCCCGAAACATGACTGTCGCCGCCAGTCCGGCGAGGGGACCAAAGAGGAGGAGGAGGGTCCGCGCCATCCGACCGGACACTCCAAGTCAACGCAGCGTTGCCCAGAGACCCGTTCACAGCGGAACGCGGGTCGGGCCCGATGCCCTGCTCCGAGTGGACTCGATGTCGAGGGCGCCGCTTGCAACTGCCGCTCTCCTCTGCGATGCCCCCAAAAGGCCCCTCGAGGTCCCCACGTGTCATATGCAGAAGGAAGGGAGGAGAAGGAGGAGGAGGAGGAAGAGGAAGAGGAGGGACGAAAACGAGAAGCAGGAACAACACGCGACGAAGGTGGGGGCGGCCCCGGGTGTTCGGCAGGTAGTTTTGTACGAGCTCCTTGACCTGACAACAGTGCCTGGCCTGTTGACGGAACATGGTTTTTGGACAAATTGAATGTGAATTTGGTATTCTCCGATTCGCGAGCTCTACTGGTATTGCACGCATTATGAACAAGGTCTATGGCCATAGCGCACAGGAAGCAAAAGAGGACCCGCACCAACCCAGAGGGAAGGCAGAAAGGCAGCGAAAGGGGACGAGGGAGAGGAGGCAACCCACCCCGAAGGCACAAAGGGGAGGCAAGAGGAAAGACAAGCAGAAACGTGTGGACATCTGAAACAATATGCTATACAATCGCCACCCATATGCATACAACTAAGACGGCACACGTGGGTTCCCCCCACGGAATCTCCTGCTCGCGGCCCAGGCAGTGAACAACATACGGATAACAACAGAGACACTGGACGGGGGCATCAACTTAGCCTACATGAGGTGAGCTCGACATCAGCTCCCGAAGCCTCTGGGATCCAGTCTCGGAACCCTGGGAGGATCAAATCATGACTGTCTAAAGCAAGGAAATCACCGGTTTGTAGAATTTGGCAGTCCTACTCTGCAGAAGCCTCGGGGCCACTTCTTGGGGGAACCGAGGGAGGCTCACGCGTTGATCATGGGTCCTGAACATATGAAAGCAGCTCTACTTGGCCTTCGGGAGCCGAACCACTGGGCAGACGAGGTGCTCGTCATCTTCACGGACTCGGGCGAGCCAGCTGGACACCTCTTCAATGGCCTTCGAGCGGATCGCAGTGCGGAGGATGGTGGCACGACGCGTGATACGAATGTCAGCAGCCTCGCACCCGAGGCCAATCTTCTTCATGTTGGTGAGTGAGGCTGGAGCGCAAGCATATTTCGGGGCATCCGTTAGTCGTCGCAGCCCTTCTCGAGCCTTCACCAGGACCATAGGGGCGGGCTCGTAGCACTGGGCAACGCGGGAGCACACCAGCAGGGCGAACGCGTTGTAGGGAGTGGGCGAGAGATTTAGGTCGAGCTTGACGGTCTCGAAACACGTGCAAATGTTAAATAGCTTCTGAGCGGGCGCATACCAACTCCGATACTCCCCGCCCCTCCCCAATATCACCCCCAAGTACAGACCCCCACCACCATAACTAAACTTTTGGGTGTTGATTTGGGGCCTCTGGGAGCGCAACTGACCCGCGGTCATATGTTTATCTGCTCTGTTCAATATCATGGCATGGCACTTCTATCTATAGGTTCAGCGCAAGACCCGTCCACGACCCAGCCAGGACAAACTCTCTCACGACAACGGGATGAGTGGCACGCAGGTTCTTCGCCACGAGCGCAATGTCGTCGGCGAGTGCTGGGAGGATGAATTCGCAACTGCGCTGGCGCCTCTTCGCGTGCGCGAGCACTGGATGGAGAACAGTGGCGAGCAGGACTCCGCTCATCGAACAGCCCTGCTTCACCCCTCGGGCAACCCAGATGCCGACGCCCTTGGAACCAGGAAAAGGCACCATGGTCCAGAGGCTCACATGCAGAACCTCGATCGCGACGAGGATGCAAGGAGGCAATCTGGAACGCGCCAGCACAGCCTTGATCCAGTCGTGGAAAACCGACGGGAAGGCCTGCCGAAAATCAAACAGCGTGGTTCCACTATGTCCTAATGACTATGTTCGAGCCCGTGGAGCCCCCCCCCCAGATATCGCAGTGCGCGTCGAACTCGACTGGGTCATCGAGGAGCGAGCGCCACGAGACGAACCCCCGCTGCGATTCATCGACGGCGTCGAGGGCGACGGCATTGAGCGGACGAGCGATGGCGGCCGAGGGGTTTTTGCTGTTTGCGTGGCCCAGGGATAACGGGCGAGTCCTTGCTGGGGGGCGCGCTTCTTTCCCATTTCCAGACAGCGCGCTGGCGGGGGGGACAAATCAACCTGCAGTAGTTGAACTTCTCGGATAGCGGCTGGCAGCTGAGGCCGCGGCGATATTGTTTTTTACAGCGCGTCGTACCCCAGCGCGCCTAAAGCCTTCTAACCCGAGTAGCTGGCTCCATCAGCACCACTGGCCGAATCCTTCTTCTTTATCCTCCGAACGAATTCCGTAAACGCTTCCTCTGAGAGAATCCAGTCATGGCACGCGTGCGCCCCACTCGCAGATTGATCCTCGTCGCCGCCCGCTGGGACCAGATAATTGACCAGATTTGATTAACTGGCATTTGGCTGGTGCTCGTTGGCGCAAAAAAATCT